TACAGCCGCTTTAGAAAATAGTAATAATCGTTCAAATATAATTTGGTCCTTCGGGAATGATCCGCGTCTGATGATATACGACGCGCTTTTTTTCCCAAGTACAATGTGGATGTATACCTGGCATGGTGGCTCGATATTGTAAGCAGCCTTCTACTACGCATATAGTATATATGCTAGTACAGACGAGGTAGCGGTACCGATTCAGTGCCGCATGCAGGGACAAGAGTCTGTGAGTGGAATCCGAGACCATGGACTCGCGAGTTCCTGCCACTTCAGGTTGACAGAGACGCATGTTCCTACAACGTGCACCGCCTCAATAGGGAGTTTTAGTGCTGGGTACCCAAGCGGCTTGCGTACCCAGGACGTTGGGGCGGCAGTATTGCGCATGCGCGAAATCCCCAAACAGATGCGTCGCAAGATCGCTGGGGCGATGGGGCCATGCGTCCGCGTGGCCATAAACAACGCTGTCACCACTGGCCTCCTAGCGGAGATAAGCTGCCCTGGCGTACATGCTGGCGCATCATGTTACCTTCACGGTGAGCAAAGCCGAGGCTGGCCAGAGCCACCACTTTGACTTTTAAGTTTTAAGCTGCAAATATTATAGTGGCTAGCCACTATACAAATAGCATGGCACAAAGGCGCGAAATCTCGGACAGCATGGATCGACCACCCTTGTAGGTCCACCTCTGCAGGAACTCACGGTATCCTGCACTGCAGATATTCTAGCCATCGAGTTAAAATAAGCCAAAGTGCGTGCACTTATAGCGATTACACGGTTTCAGCCAGATTACCAAAGCTAGAATGGCCTGGAACATAAAAACTAAATATATGCCAGCCCCCGACCAGCTGAATTTCATTTCATTTCATTTATTTACTCTCAAGGCACTGGGCATTACAGAGAGGAGTGGGACAACAAATATGAATAAGAAGTAAAACAAAACAGCAGGATTAGAATAAATTATAATGCACTTTCAGAAATGATTGATTCGAACGCGTTGGCGTCTGTGATGGAAGCGATCGATGCGGGAAGGTAGTTCCAGTCAGTACACTGTTCTAGGGATGAAAGAGTTGAAGTGCTGGTTCCTATGGCAGAAGGGAACCCCAACCTTGTATTGATGGTCATTGCGTGCTGATATAAAAAGGCTGGTGGAAAAAACAGTGAATCAGAGAGTGTTCTGTTAGTGTGACAGATCTTATGAAAGAGACAGAGACGTGAATTTTCGCGTCGTATTGAGAGGTTATACAAATTGAGTTGAGTCCTTCATTGATGTGACACTTGCAGTTCGAGAGTAATTGGACAATATGAAACGTGCTGAGCGATTCTGAATGGATTCAATGTTGTCTATGAGCATGTGAATATGAGGATCCCAGATAGACGACTCATATTCCGAGTTTTGGCCGCACTAATAATTTATACAGGAGAAGCTTTAGGTTAATTGGAGCAAAAAAAAAATTCGACATAAATAGCCAAGAGTTCGATTAGCGTTGCATGTTATGAAGTCAACGTGAGCCTGCCATGACAGGTTGTTAGAAATGTTAACACCGAGGCACTTGTAAGAAGAAACGTTGCTTAGGGAAGTGTTTTTAAGTAGGTACGAGGGGGACGCAACTTTTGAAGGGTTACGAGCTATTCTCATTGATTTGCATTTATTTGTGTTAAGTTTCATTCGCCAATTATTACACCACGAAGAAATATTGTCCAGGTCAGATTGCAGGGTGTCAGTGTCGTTAGAGGTCAAAATTTTGCGGTAAATAACACAATCGTTAGCAAGTAACCTAATAGGTGGCGCCATCTAGCGCGGCCATAGTGAAACAGATAACCACAACATTGCTATTGCAGGAACATTGTGCATTGTACGCCAGGTGCAAAAACTATGCAGCGACAACATTACAAATGGGTAACCTTTTTACTCATTTTAATCTCAAAAACATTACGCGTAAGCTAACATTTTCATGACTGTGGTTGCACGAAGTGTCACAAGATGTCGACACTGTCGTTACAGTAACCTTGTCTTTTTCACTTCATTTGCGTATACCAGGATACTGTACACGATAAAAAAGGTGTCCTGATCACTATGTATGTTTAATTCAACATTTGAAATCATAAAAATAATTAAATAATACTTAGGCGACAAGACGCTATGGCGCTGCGAGCGCGTGTGACCTTCGTGCGGCTTGCGTTTGCGTGCGCGCCTCTATAAGGCATTCCAGTTGGGTATGGGTTGGGTACGCAACGCCGCGCCCCCCAAGCCTGCAGCACCCCAAGAGCTTGGGTGCCCAGCACTAAAGCTCTATAATGTCAACGTCACCACGGCGGTGTTATACGAGCGCGTTAAATCATTTTTGCCGCACGTGCAAAAGCAATATTTCTGCTCCACAAAATATCCTATATATATTCATTTGTGTTGCTTTTTCAACCCTAAAGCCACTCATTCCTCTTTAGACCACAGCGAGATCTCGTTCTTCGAATATAAGCTCAGTGCGAATTATGCTTTGAGTCGCCACGATGCACAGCACGAGCAGTCACTGCAGCTGCTACAGTATAGCGCATTGTAGATCCGTCGGCGTTTGCATACCTTTTTGACGATGATGGTATCACTAATAACAATTTCTCGCACTTATACGTGTCGAAAGCCCGACATGATTGTGAGGCACGCTACTTTGGCTCGCAATTCAGCTCTTCGCACGTGAACTTACATGACGTGCAAAGAAATGCAAGTGCACGGGTGTTTTTGCGTTGGCCCTCCATCGCAATGCGGACGCTGTGACACGGAATCTAGCCAGTTGCCTGCATCACAGAATAGCCGCGCAACACCTCACCTGTTACCACGGTGGGTTGGATGACGAGGCATTTTGCGCACAAGCCTTGTAACAATACTATTAATAATTACCATGTGACATTGATTATATAGCTGTATCACAAGGGCTTTGTGAGGCGTGGATTTAAAACCCGCAATCTTCACAGTGCTGTCATCTTATAAATGTGCGCGCGATTCCTGTGGGGGCGGATATGGACGCTGCAAAAGTGAAAACAGCGGCAGCACGTGACACCATAGCATCGGTTTGGGCTGGCTGGCATAAATAAATCCGAAACTCTGGTCTCAATGACTCAAAGGTCCGTTATGAATTCACTTAACACAACATGAAGACAAAAGCCATCTTTCATTTCTTCTTACTCGAGGTACTGATCCTGCCTCGCCACCTTTGGAAATCTTTCTGCACTTATATATGGGGACGCTTTGCACGGCCTCCAAAATTAGAGGCACCTCACCTGATTTAGCATTGCCTCCTTGATTTGGATCACCTTGCACCAAGCTACTGTGCCACGTGGTAGGGCCATGTCATCCCGTGACGTCACGTTACGCCGCGCGGCGTCACAGCGACACCATGAATTACCAGCTCAGACCCAGTCGTTCAGACAAGGATCGGGGAGTGGGCCGCAAAGGTCGTCGTCAACCTTGGGCTGATGGCCCCGCCGCGGTGGTCTAGTGGCTAAGGTACTCGGCTACTGACCCGCAGGTCATGGGATCGAATCCCGGCTGCGGCGGCTGCAATTTCGATGGAGGCGGAATGCTGTAGGCCCGTGTGCTCAGATTTGGGTGCACGTTAAAGAACCCCTGGTGGTCGAAATTTCCGGAGCCCTTTACTACGGCGTCTCTCATAATCATATGGTAGTTTTGGGACGTTAAACCCCACATATCAATCAATTTTACAAAATAAAGTCTTACCATCTATTCATCCATTCGTCCGTGGCAATCTGCGACGTCATATATGGTGTCGTCACTACAAGATGATGATTTTCGGCACTACTCCTTCCCGACGCCAACGGTCGAATGTCGTGTTTGATGAAGCAGTCATTAGGCCGTTCGCTACAAAAACATGCGAAATCGCAAAGACCCAAACGATATACACTCTGGAAGCGAGAGAGACAAACATTTGCGTCCAGGCTTCTATGAGGGAGGAAGCTATAGAATGAGTCTGCGTATCTGTTTAACGCTCCGTGACAGCGGCGTACCTCTAGGCACGCCTCCTTTACGTATCGCGTTCGAGGGGAGCGTTTTATGGACGTCTCCAGGAGAGTGGAGCAGAATTGAGGTTCGATTGCAGCAGTATAGAATGAGTGGATACTCTCGGGGGACGAGGTGGCGGTATGGCCTGAGTGCGTCAACCGATATAAAGTGTGCGTGCGTGCAGATACGTGGTGTATATATATATGCATCTCGAGCGCGTTCCCCACGACCGACGCCTACGCCTGCTGCCACGCTCCACTTGGCCCCACCGCACCGAGACTCCTCGGGGACCCGCGCGGGCGTGCACGCGTATACGGTATGTAGTGCGCGCAGGCGGGGCATGCATCGCGTCGAGGCTCGTCGATTAAAGCGCACGTCCCACCACGTTTGAACCGTCGTGGCTTGCGGGAATTGCCCCGCGGTGGCATCGTTTAAGTCCCCTTTGTGTCGCAGTCCCTGCAGTGCTTCCTCGCGGTATAGTACTCTTGGGATCCCATCACTCCTGCTGCCACCGTTGGGTCGGGCAGTGCGTGTTGTCGTACTAGACAGGTGCGTTGCAGTAGCCCTTTAGAAGAGCACAGGCGTGTTTGGCGCATTGCGCACTGAGGCGGCCGCAAAGGTTGCCCGTACTCCGACCTAAAAAGGGGGGTGGGGGTGGGAAGGCTGCGATGAACTTTCCGGCACCCCTAAAAACGAACTCTGTGCACTCCTCTGCGCAAGCTCATAAGCTCGTGTATGCAAGCTCGCATGCAAACACGCAGTTGTATTCAAGTATTTTATGCAACGGAGTTGTACTCCGCTGTGCGGTCGTAGATTTTGAATTGCTGCGCACTATAACGTGCAAGCGCACGTGAAGGGCCCGAAGCGTGTGATGCGGGTCCGGGCGCAGTTCGGTGACAAGACGAACAGAGATCGCCATCTTCGATCCTAAAACTGCGGGATGTATACCTTACGTACTGCGATGTGTACGTATAGTATACGAAGACTCACCGGAGAAGTAGCCGAACGCCGAGCTCGGAGGTCCGGGTCCCATCTCGGGCGAGTCGTCGAGCCCGTCCGGCGACATGCCGGGCCGCAGGGAGCGCATCACGCGCCTCGGGCTGCGGAAGAAGTGGCGACGGGCACCCAGGGTGCTCAGCTGCTTCATGCGACGCTCCTTGGAGCGCCGGTTCTGGAACCACACCTGCACGCCAAGAGAGTCTTTGATTATTATTATTATTATTATTATTATTATTATTATTATTATTATTATTATTAATAATAATGTTGTTGTTGTTGTTGTTGTTGTTGTTGTTGTTGTTGTGTAGCACATTGCAAAAGACAACACTGACACAAAGTTTCAATCGAGATTAAAGCATGACAAGGTCCGAAGGAAGCCACGAGGTGACATCGTATTCTTAATGTCCCCTCTGATGAACGCTACTGCAAACGCACAAATTCAGATCGTTCCGTTGACGTTAGCCACGAGCCACCGCTGGAAGCTGTTACGAAAGGAACAGAGGGTTGGTGGCAGTTTATGAATTACCCGATCCATTAACAAGTATGACTACAAGCCAGCCGTCACTCTACTTTACACGTTGGCTGGCGACTTAACCAGTTGAGCAGGGCCATGCATCACCGGGCCGTAATTTGTATGCGAACGAAACCACTGCCACGATCAAGCTGCTGAGCATGTTTCTACCGTAAGCAAACGTTCCTAGGAGCCGAGCCGAAGTGACTTCAACACCGCAAGAGTTTTTTTTTTTTTTAGTATAGACGAGCGGATGGACGGATGCACATTGTATAAAGAAATAAAATTGAGAAACGGCGTTTGGACTGTCTGTCTCTTGTTCTGTGCTTCGAGCTGCTTCCTCGTTTACACCAAACGGCCCAAAATAAGCACTGTAGGATATCGTAAGCACATTTATTTAAATGAGGGTGGTGACGAATGCCACAAACTCAAACAGCCGTCTTTTTCTACCGCAAGCATATATTAATCTTTATTGTACACATATGAGATCAATATCACTTGTGGGCAAACAAATAAATATACTTGATAAAAATGTAGGTTAAAATACAACAAATTTTTATTCAGTTCTTACGCCACGCAATCGATGCGTTACCTGTATTTTATTATTCTTTTACCATTACATTATTGTTACATTATTTATCTATTCATAACTCAGCAACCATCTCCTTCGTTATTCTCAAAACGGGACAGCAAGAAGGTTGACTACGTTGATACTTACCTCTGCATTTACCCTATACATTTATGGAAGCGCCAGTCGTACGCAGAAAATGAAAAAAAAAACTACAAAAAAAGTCGAGTGCACCACGCATGCGAGCGCGAACCATGGCTAGGCGTCGCGTCAACAAAGGTGACCGAGAATGCATGCCACGGGCGGCAATGACCGCGGCAGCGGTGGGCAATGATAAGGCAAGGAGGAAACGGAGGCCTATAGGGGAGGGCGTCGGTGGGAAGAGCGAAAACGGGGGAGGAAACAGGGAAGAGCGACGGCACGTGAACCTGGACGCGCGTCTCCTACGGATTAGCGAGGTTCGCCTGGGGAACTCCGATAAGGAGGACCCCGGGCGGCGAGCTCAGCCGCAGCCCTTTGTATGCAGATCTCGGCCAGGCAGTGTGTCGATGTCGATAGAAGGAGAGGAGGGGAACCAAAAGATGGATGGTTATATATACTACTACACACACACACACATATATATATATATATATATATATATATATATATATATATATATATATATATATATATATATATCGTAGGCTGAGAAGGCTTCCCGTTGCCGAGCCATCTGCTTTGCTGACGTATAATATTTTTTTCTAGCGTTCTGTTGTTTCGTTTCTGTTGCGTTAATTTTGTCTGACCTCTGTGCCACTGTCGCACTTCCGTGTTTTCTACGGCCTATCTGCGCATTCACATCGACTCATCGCGTTCCTGTGGATTGACAGCCTGACTCGCAACGCATTTTAAGCCGAATATGTGCTTGCAGTGAGAGCGACCCATGCACCGAATGCCCCTACAGAATCGCAAACCTTCTATATTCAAACGTGTATCATAAAAACATAATAAAAATACGTTTCCGCGTGATATTGGTGGCGTAGGCGACGGTTTCCCATTAAATTATCAGCACAGAGGTAAGCTTGTAGTTTTCTTGCTCAGCGCATGCAGCGACACCGAAGAGGGGCCACGTGGAAAGAACCCCCAAATAATGCTCAGTGGTCGGGACACGCTTGAGAGACGCTCTTCTGAATATAACAAAGCTCGCGTGAAACTACCGCGTTTGCGGCGTAACCACCCCCAACTCACGATCGAGCGGCGGCGGGTGTCAGCACTTACCCTGACCCGCGGTACACTCATGCAAGCAGCAACAGCAGCGGCAAACCTTTTCATTACGCGCCGAAGCGGGCACCCGTCCTGCAGCCTCTGTTCCCGTACTCGGTTTTTCCCCCTCCCTGCAAAATCTTCCCCTCTGCCCCGACCGCAACGCAACGGTCACCTTTTGCGGTTCCTGCCTCGCTGCAGCTCGGTGCTCTATTGTGTTTTTGGTCGCACCACATCGTAATGACAGCCTTCTGTATACTCCCGCGGAGCGCTGGTATACGCAACGTCACAAGGGCAACATGGTGCCTCCCCGTCGCTTCCTAGCTTACAACATCCACACCCCCTTTTCTGCTGTCTCTTTTCACTTTGAAAAGAGACAGCACAAAACTTAGAAAAGAGACAGCAAAGTCGTGTGTGCGTGGCTGTGAAACGATCGAACGACTCCAATGTCACGTGTCCTCCATATCCTAGATTTTATACTGCTCTTTTTTTTACAATGCAATTTCCAGCCCTGATTTACACTCGGTAAAGTCGACCGCTTAACCAGCGCGGACTGCCGTTATATATTCGATAACCGTGAAAAACTCGTCTACGCATATGGCTCATAGGTTATTGTCTATCTCAGCAAGCCTTATTCCATAGCGTGCCGTCTGCGACGATTCAAGGAAACAACCATGTCCACATGTCATGTCATGCTCCTGTAAGTGCACTCGTCGCTCGACTTAATAACTGTCGGAGTTTTGAGTCTCAAGTCGCTCGATTTAAACGCACATTAGAGTGAAAAACAATCTTTTTTTTTTCGTATTTGTAGAGTATTCTTTTTCAGTTTCGAAAAAAAAAAGCACGCTGGTCGCTTGAAGACGCTTGACGATTAAGCCAGAAAACGTGCAAAAAGAAAATGATGGGGCCGACGCCTCTTGAAATTTTACGAACCAAACGCGGTGACGTCTGCAATATGATGGCGTCTGCGTAGGTGATTCTCAGTTTTTAATGAGTAAAAAAGCGAAGTAGTTTGTAAAATAGGGCGACAAAAATTGCGGATGTTGCTCATACTAACTCGTGAAATATAACTTGCGCTTTGGAATTGCCTGGACTCGGACTCACCAAAATTTTCTTCGGCCGGACTTGCATGATAATTACACTGACCCGGACTGAAGTCCGAGTGAGCCCACTTATAAGTGTGTTCACCAACCTATGGTTTGTAGTGTGAAGTCAGCATACAAGGTTCTGGGGAAATCTCGTTGAGCAAGTGTTACTACGTGAGTTGAAGTTAACCGAGAAAATGAAAATAAGAAACAAAAAAGACTTGCGAAACGTGCTATGCGAAAGAACTTCGATGTTGCCACGAATTCTACCGAGCCCTCACTGAGCGTTCAGAGACGTGGTTCGATCGCTACGTCTCCTCGTCTGAACGAGCTAATTAACTCGTCGCCGAATGGAACGGGTTCAAGTGTGGGTGTTGGGGATAGCGCCTTCCTGAATACTGCCCCGCAAAGCGGGCTTTCGTGCCGCGTTGAAGGCGTTCTCGCATATAATGAACTGAGACTTTCGCGAAAATGCAAGAGCAGCTATTGACACGGCGTCCATTCGCGAACTATTTGCCTTGCGATGCACTCCTCTGGAGTCCTTAGTTGTATACAGACGACGTTGAAGAAAACGATGCAGTCCGGTGCGCGGTTGAGTGTGCCCTTTCAAATAAAGAAACGGTGTAGTATACAATTAAATACTGGTAGGTGCTACCGCGGTACTCTAAATACTTTCACTCTCCTTTCATACATGTGGAAGTTACATGTATGACACTCTCTCTATAGAGGTACGTTGACTTGCTGTTGGAGGGTCGTGGAACCACTATAGACTTTCCAGAAGAGAGTCAATGCACCAATCTCATAAACAGAGTCAACTTGCCTTCCTATATAGAGAGTACAAACCATGTGACTCTCGCATGTACGAAAAGAATGTCATACGACCAATTTATCATTTTTTAGCGCAATGTATCAGAGGCGGTAGCCACGAGCATTGGTCGTCAGAACTACACACTGATTTGATAAGTTAAACATCGTTTCTCTTTGTCTTACTTGGTTGCTTCTTTTATCAAGTGTCATTGCTTCTTTTATCAAATGGAGATAACTTTTATATTCAAGACTTTAACTCAATGCATGTAAAATGGTGCAGGATTCGGCCTTGGTTTGCGTGGTACGTAGTAAATATAAATAAAGTGAGTCGCAGAAAAGTATTATAGCGGTAAAATTAGTGTACTTGCGCTGTTTCTTGCCATGGTTATCTTTAGGCAGCAGCATGGTATATCCTTCCTTCAAACATTCTGTATACTCTTCTGCCCACGTGGCTGCCTGTGAACACCACGAGCCGAGAAACTCATGATGAAGCCATCTTTTCTGTTTATCTCGGACCTTGCTCACGAACTCTGCCTCGCACAAAGTGGCGCCTTGAACGTATAGACGCGCCTTTTTGGCGCCCTCGGCTCGCAGAAAACCAACAATTTCCAATTCCATCGGCCCCACCGTCACACACGCTCGCATAGAGGGGGAGCCACTTACGCGCTGCGTATGTGGCACTGCGGCAGCGCAAACAACGGGACACCGAACGCAACCGCCGCTGCGTTTTTTTTTCCCTTTTGTCCTTTGATTACACGCCACGCGAACGCCTCTATTAGGGTGATTGTGTATAAATTCACCCGCTGCGCAGGTGCGTCGCCCGACGTTTGTTCCGTTGGGTTTCGACGAAGGGAAGGCAGAGTTTGGCCGTGGTGGGTGGGATACGGGACGCCCTGTGTGCACGACCTTGCTTTTCTTTCTCCTCATTCTCGGCCCGGAATTGAGACGTCCCCTCAATGACCGTGTAT